ATTACACAATCTTTAAACTTTAATTAATTAAAAGTTTTTTAATAAAGTTAAAAAAGTTTCTTAACTAAGTTTGTAAAATAAACTTTTAAAAATATTTTTTACTTAGAAAGTATATTGCTAAAATTCATTATTAAAATTTTATTATAAAAATTAATTTTTAAAAAAAAGATGCAAACAAATTTGCATGCAATACAATTTAAGGGATATATATATATGCATATCTACTTAAATAATGTATGTACATACTAGATAATGTTGCTAATATACATGTCACCCTCAACTTAAGTGTTGGTTCTAGTGTCACTAATAATTAATATCATATTATTTTTCATATATATATCATTTATTAGACTTACATGTAGGCCAGCAATTCACATGCTTAGACACAAAAATAGTTGACTTTATCAAAATCTGATTGCCCTAATAGATATTAATTTAACTCTAATTTTTTTTCAATTTACATAAAACAAGATACTGTCATATACAAGGTTGTGATTACCAAGGTGCAATATATATATATATGTAAGTTACTCAGTAGTTACTATGAAAATTAATACACTATTGATAAAAACTAAAAAGATTTAGACAAACTTACTGGTAACTAACCAGTAACTTACCAATGTTAGATTAACAAAATAAAAAAATAAAGCACATGAAACAAACTTTCTTAAAAGCATTAATAAAACTATCGAGACAGCTTTAATATCCTAACTCAAAATCAATCCAACAGCACCTAATTGTAGATATTGAATTTTAACTCAATTATTAGACTAGCATTTTAAATCACTTTAGTTTTACAATTATAACCTCAATTTGCACTATTGAACAAGCAATCCATATACCAACTATCTTACTAATAAAATTATGTTTTGCAGTTTTTTTAATAATAGCTAACCTTACCATATTTTTTACAATGTCTTTGCTATTTTTTGGTACTTCTTTTTTCACATACTAATTTGAAGCATTTAGTGCTCACTTGTTAGTCTTTTCTATGCCTTTTTTTAGGATTCTGTAATACAAAATTTTTATTTTCTTTATTACTATTGGTTTCATTTCCTGATAAGCTTTCAGAAGATTCATCAACACTTTCTGTAAATTCTTTTAACAGATCGATAAGTCATTATGAATTTGATCGACTTGTTAATGCTTTGTTAAGAGCCTTCTTATAAATACTATATAGCTCTTCATAAATCTTTCTTTGTTAAAGTATAGTAAGACTCTTTTCAAGAAAATCTTGGTTATTTTGATTAAATGCACATAGATAAGAAATAGGAAAAGTAGTTTTTCCTGTTAATATTTCCTCATAAAATTTATCTGCTTTTAAAAAAGGTTCTTTAGACATGTCAGCATTATTATAGTATCAATGAGAAGGAATTAGCTGAATATGAAATTTGGCATTGTCTGTTGTAAGTATTATTTGAAAATAATATTTACAAATAATACTCTGTTGGATGGTTATTAAGTATGAACATACATGAGACTGATTGTTTAATAATAATACATAATGTTTTGTGATAACAGAATTACCAATATTTACATACCATACTTCAATTACATTGTTCAATTCTTCTACTAAATGAATAAGTTCTTTTAGCAGTATTTGTTGTATATCTGCTACTAATGCATCAGATATTTCTATTTTTTGATTGTTACTACAGAGTCTCTATAATTATAAAAAAGTCATTAAATAATTCATAAAATGAGTAATACTAAAGAAAAAGGCACCCCAATCATATAGAGTTTATATGATTGGAATGCCTTTTTCCTTAGTATCACTTAAATAATAAATAAGCTAAAAAAATTACCTTGATATCATCATCCAAAAGTTTACTAACTTTATAATAAACAGACTGGTTAATTTCGTTACGTTGTTTTTGTAATATAATAGGCATAAGAATTTTTTCTAAACACATATTAATTTTTTTAAAAAGGAAATTTGTTTTGTCTTAACTTTTAATGCAAGAGACAGATAATTTCCAAAAGTTATATTCTTCTTTTTTGTTTTGAAAATCCAAAAGGTGATGAATTTCATTTATTAATTCATATAAAGAAATATTTGAACTATATAATAATCATTTTAAGCACCTATTTACTGATTCTATGCAGAAAGATGATATCATACTGCTAGTGAATTTAAAACATATAAAACAGTGGGCCCAATAGGCCTTGTTGTAATATAATACTTCAAGATAAGAACTAGTTCCAGGAAAATTTTGATGAAGATCTTCAAACCTTCTTTCAAAAGTTTCTTTTGTAAGACTGTTTCTACATATATAAAAAGCTTCAATAAAATTTTCATAATTACTTGCAAGTGAATTCTTTAGATGCTTGTTAATATTTTGTATTATGTAGAAAGCATAATAAATCAGATAGCTTTGAACAAATACTTGGCAAACTGTGGAATCTATTGTAGAATCTGTGTCAGTTATTATAACAGCTGACTGCTCATCAGTTGCTTTTAATATCTCTTTAAACATCCAAACGTAAGATTCTGTATTTTCATTTGGTAATAAAGCTTGCACAAGAAGTATATTGTGACAATTACAATTAAATCCTACAAACATTGATAACACTATGTTATAACAATTTGTTTTATGGATCACATCATTTAAAACATAGTCTAAAAATTGTATTCAATTTTCGATTTGTTCAGGGGTCATCCATAGTAACTTTGTAAGTATGTTATCCTCATTCCAATCCCTAACAACAATCTACTGAGAGTCACATTCTTTTTGGCTATCTAGCCAATTAGACATCGATACTGCATCATTTTCTAATATTTTAGTAATCAGCCGAAACCTTTGAATAGTGGTATACAAATTTTTGGAATATATTGGCTGAGTGGAATACTTCCCTTCTAAAAACTTTCACTGCACTGTTGTCTCGAATTTATAATGAGAAGTTAAAAATTTTATATTATCAATCATTTCAGATATAAACTTTTTATTTTCTTTAAAATTGATCTTTTCAATACTTAGAGAATGATTATGCTTATTGACAATCTTATTAATATATATATAAGATTCAGGATTATTAAGCTTGGGACATGAAGCATTAATAAGAAATAGACAATTAATTTTTTTGTAACTAAATCTTTTTTTGACTTTGAATTGTAAGAACAGAAATAATTATATAAGTATGTATGCCTTCTTATAATTCTATTTTCTCATTTTATGTGATCTTTTTTGATATAAAAGCCTTTTTTTTAGCCTACTCACTAATAAATAAATCACATTCTTCCCATATCAAAAAAACCTTGATACTGAACAAATCAGAGCTTATACCTCTTCAAAAGAAGTTAATAGACTAGTATTTTCAATTTCATTAGTGTATTCGGTATGATCACTCTTCTTAAACATTTTGGTCATATTTAGAATCTAAGGTTTATACTTGGTAAGATAACATCTAACTTACTAACAAAGCAAGCACTAACTAAAGAAAAAAAATCTTGAATATGTACAAAAAAGACTGCAGGTATAGAAAAGTCCTAACAACATAAAAGAAAACCTGGTAGTACAAAAAAGTATGAGGAATGTAAAAAAGACCTTATGATACAAAAAAAGACCCACAGATGTAAAAAAAAAATAAGACCTAGATGCATAATACTGCATAAACTAGTGACATAATAAAAAAAAAGAAATACCTAGTGATGCAAGAAAAAGCTAGTAATCCAGATAAAAGGCCTGATGATGCAAAAAAACCTGCTGATGCAAAAAAAAAAATCTGCTGATGCAAAAAACAACCTAATAATACAAAACAAAGGATCTGAAGATGTAAAAAAAAAGAAAAAAAAAATCCTAGTAGCATAATATAAACTATCAAATACCTGAAAGCATGACAAAAATGATCTAGTAGTGCAAATGAAGCTTAAAAATGCAAAGAGATGACCTTGGCAGTGCAAAAGATCAGGTGATGCAAAAAATAACTAATGACACAGCAATCTAATGGTGCAAAAGACAACCTGGTGATGCAAAAAAAATAAGATGTAAAAAAAAAGTCTGAATATATAAAAGTAATCTAGCAACATCATAATAAAGCAAAAAAATAGACCTGAAGGCATGAAAAAAAGCCTAGTAGCACAAAAGTGACACGAAATGACCTGAAAAAACAAAAAAAACCTGCCAATTAAAAAAAGACTTGATGGCAAAAAAAAGACTTGTCACAGTAAAATAAAGGCCCAGAAAGATATCTGAAGATGCCAAAAATATTTGAAATGTAAAAAGAAACTTGGAGATGCAAAAAAAACCTGTCAACACAAGACTTGATAATGTAAAAAAAGCTGGCGACATAAAAAAAAGGCCCAGTGATGTAAAAAAAAGGCTTGGCAACATAAAAAAAGACTTTAAAACATAGAATAAAGCTTGACGAAGATAAAAAAAACTTTAGCAATGTGAAAATGTAAAAGACCTTGCATAGTAAAACACTTTACACAACAAAAAAAGGCCTTGTGATATAAAAACCCATGATCAATGATGTAAAGGAGAGGATCAGAAATATTCTATAATTTGGTTTATTTTTACCCCAGATCAGATTTACAGACTATTAAAATATATGTAATCATAAATGCAGACTATCAAAATATATGTAATGATGTGTTATAATATTACATAGTAATACAAAAGGGCACTATAGCACATATGTACTATTTTATATAATCTTTTTTTAAAATAATATAATATTTTAAAAATTTTTTTTTTTTTTTAAATGTTAAGGTGAATACATGTAACCTAGGATTTTACTGATAGTATAAGTTGGCCAGCATCTGTAAATGTACAGACACAGAGGCAATTACAGAAAGAGTGTACAACTAGCCACTTGTCAACTTTAGTTATTGTCTAATTTAAGTAGTCTGCCCAAAGGTTCTATACTAGTTGCTATATCTAGAACCCATCTGTAGATTCTCTATTTAAACACTCTGATTCTGCATCTACTACACCCTATCAGTGACTTTGGTAAACCGATAAAGATATGTCATGGTCACTAAGTCATATTTAACTTTGTACTAAACCTACCAATATGTTCTGTATCTTATACTTATAACTCACCTGGTCATGCTTTGGCCTAAACCATTACTTACAGTTAGAGCTAACTATTAAACCACTTTTACCCTTGTAAGGTTTACCCAAAACCCCAGTACCCATCTTTCCAACATTCTCTCTATCGTCCCTTACTAACCGCTACTCAGGACTGATAGGACTCTCCAGACTTTTAGTCCAGATGGCCTGGTATGGTATATCTTAGTATTCTTTTCTTCTGGTAATTCTGGTGGCCTGGTTGGTCATGTGCTCCTCTACACATCTTGTCATCTGGTTTATTTGTCTATCTCTTTGGGGGTGTTTTATGGGCTTTCATTAGTCTGACAGCACCATCAAAAGTTTTGTGCTACTTTCTTACTTAGGATTTTCAAGTAAGTTTCCAACTCTTTGGTTCCTTTGCTTTCTGTGCCTGGTGGTCTTATTGTGGGTTTGCACTGAAGTCTTATGCAATACTGGTTATACATCCCTCTATGTGGATGTAACATTACACTTAGCATAGATGCCCCAAGCTCCTATTCGAGATAGTGCAACAAAGGTTACAGATACACCAATCCAACTGATCAACAGAGACAGTTACTATAATACAGACTTATTTTCCAAAATTCGTTGTCTATGGGATTTGAACTTTAGACGTGCCACTTGGGGGTTGACAACCTGACCACTTCACTAGGTCACTACACTCCTATATTTCAAAATTTTACTATAATAGATAAATAATTTTATTTATAATATTATAAAATTTTTTATTAATTAATTAAAAAATAATAAGTTTTATTAGTAACATATATCAAATTTAGATAAAAATTTTAATTTAACTATATAAAAATAATCTATATGATCTTATCTTAAACTGTTGTCTTATAATTTATATATTATATAAATTTATAAATTAACAAATTAGTATCTGTATTTGAATGCTTGAACTAATGTAATATTATAATTGAAACATTTATCTTTTTATTAATCTTTTCATTTAATATAAATAATTTATTATTAATTTGAATTTGGTACTCATGATGGTGCCAACCTGTCTAGTTATCAAATACACTTTGTCATTAGCACAATATTAAAAATAATAATTATAATACAAAATAGAATTTTTATTGTATAAAATTGATAGAGAAAACTTTTTTTCTATTTTTATTATTTAGTTGTAATTAATATTTTATATATAAGGTATAGTATCTAGTAAAGTGGTCAGGTTGTCAACTCCTCAAATAGTAGGTTGAATATTCAAATTCTATTAATAATAAAAATTTGGATAATTACCTATATAATATTTATATTATGGTAATTATTATTAATGATTAGGTTAGAATACCTGTAATAGTGATTGCACCAGCATGACTGTCAGGTTATGAGGCATCTGTGCAATGTTGAAGTTACATAGAGGAATGTAAACTGACAAATCAAGTAGTGCAAACACTAGATAAGTTCTTATTACTATGTAAATCTGTTGAAATTAGATAACAAGAAGTCTATTTAAAAAGATCCAAATAAAGAAATAGTTGGATTTTTGATAGTGCTATTGTAAAGATTAGCTCAGGGAAACTAATACTCAGATTTTAGTAATTAGATAAACAAGAACCTTTATGTTAGAAGTTTCAGAGATATCACCAACTAGGCTACTAGAATGAAACAGAGAAAAAGGATATTAGGCTGATCTGATATACTGATAGACTGGTCATAGTTCTATATAGTCTATCTGGATTGAAAGTCTGATGAAATTTAGAGGTATACTAAAGTACTGAAGTTATGCTATGAAGTAGATGCTGAGATCTAAGTAAACTCTACAAGAGCATAGTAGTTTAATGGTTAAGTTCTGACTGCAAGTGTTAGTTCTACTATAGTGATATCTAGATTAGTTATAAAAATGAGTACAAAAAACTCTGAAGATTTATTTTAAGAATAAATTAGTTCTAAGCTTGTGACGATAATCTAGGCATCTGAGTATAACCCAGTGAATTAATATAGATTACAGGTTTATAGGGTTTAAAATAAAATATCCAAGCAGAGATGTTAGGTATAACAATTGGTGAGAAACCTTCAAACAGACTTCTTAAATAGGTAATATAGAAAAGTTATATATATAACCAATTGTATACTCTCTTGTAGTAGTTCATTGAACCACAATATTATAAAGTGATTAATAAAAATCAAAAGATCAAAGAGGTTACCTTAACAATAAAAAAAAATAAAAAAATAAAAAAAATATCTTATACATAATATAAAAATAAATATTTTTATTATTAGGAATTAATTAATAGTAATACAAATACAAGTACAATCGACCCTTATTTGGATCATCTTTGAATTCATGTTGATATGTAGTGATATTAAAGTTAATATACATATATATAAGAGAATTTTAATATATAAATTTATATATAAAGATTTTGTTTGTAACTTAGATTAATATTAATGCAAGTTGATATTAATAATGATAAAGGTCAACTGTATAATAAAAACATTTGTATAAGTGATTATAATATAATATTAAGAATATTATAAATATTTTAACTATACAC